AGGTTAGCACGCTATTTCTTAAAGGCGTAGATTATTGCAAACAATTCTTTATTATAGATTTCCTAGTTAAGTTTAGAACTAGTAAGGGTCTAACTTAAGAAGGATATAGGGTACTATTTTCTATTAGGATGCTCCTATAAGAGGATAGCTGCAATAACTCTATTAGAGGCGTCTGTCTCTAGTTTTAGAGGGTACTTAGGATAGAAGTAAGCTAAACTTAGGATTGCTAGTAGGGCATTCCTAAGTTAGTTAAAGGCTTGTTAGCATTCCAAAGTCTATACAAATAGGGTAGCAGGGCTCTAGAGAGTAGTTAAGGGCTTAGCTGTCTTAGAGAAGTTTTCTACAAATTGCTAGTAGAATCTAGTAAATCCTAGGAAGGACTTTACTCTAGTTATTGTCTTAGGAGCGGACTAGTTTTAGAGTACTTTAACTTTATTAGGATCTACCTCTAAGCCTTTGTTAGTAAGGATATATCTAAGGTAACAGGTATAGGTTGTATAGAATTCGCTTTTCTTAATATTAGCCTATAATCTAGTAGAACAAAGACGCTTAAGGACTTTTTAAATATAGTCCTTGTAAGTAGTAAGGTTTTTAGAGTAGATAAGGATATTATCTAGATAGGTAATATAGAAGTTATCTAAATAATCTATTAGTATATTGTTTATATAGCGCTAATAGGTTACAGGTCTATTATATAGCCTAAATAGTAGGACTTTGTATTTGTAGGCACTATACCTAGTGTAGAAAGTAGTATACTCCTCTAAGTTAGGGTGTATTTAGATCTTATTAAAGGCAGCACAAATATCTAGCTTAGTAAAGATTTTTGCTTTAGCTAGCTAGGATAATAGATTATCTATGTGGGGTATTAGATACGCGTCCTTTCGCGTTAAGCTGTTAAGCTTACGGTAATCCATATAGATCCTAAGGCCTCTATTTAGCTTCTTAACACATAGGATAGGAGAGGCAAATAGGCTCTAACTAGTCTTAATAAAACCTTTCTATAGGTGCTCTTGTACATATTCCTTAGTAGCCTAGAGTTCCTTAGTATTTTAACAATAGAGGGGACTCTAGTAGTTTAGAAGGGGTTCCTCTAGGACTATCTTATAGTTGTAAGGCTAGTAGATTAGAAGTTTGTTAGCCTTAGCCTTATTAAAGACGTCCTAATAGGAGTTATAGTTAGATAGGAGCTTCTAATTTAATAGGCTATAGTCTAGAGTGTCCTATTTAGATAGGGTTTAGATCCTACGCTTAATCTTATACAGGCTAGTAGTAAAGAATTTATTAGAAGATTTTTTTATATTAAAATAGAAAGTATTAGCAGAAATAGTAGCAATTTAAAATTTTGCAGGTAGGGTATTAGTTAGCAATTAGACTAGGGTAGGTAGTATAATAGGTTTAGTAGTAGCCCTATAAGTAGCTAGAATTTTAAGTATACTACGTATCCTATTAATTAAACTAGGACTATTTTAGTTCTAGTTCTCCTCTTAATCCTAAAGGGCGTGTCTTTGCAAGATGTTATAGGTAACTAGAGTAGATAGTACTTGCTAGTAGAGTTGTACTAGAATTAGAGGTGCGGGGATATAGGTTAGAGGATATTTCTCTAGCTATATTAGTTAAGATTTATCTATATTAATTAGGATTTAGAACTGTTTTAGCTAGTGTTGTCTAATAATATAATCCTAAGAACCTAAGTCTACTATTATAAAGGGGCAGTTATAAACCTTTTAGCTACTAACTATTATATAAGGCCAAATGTAGTAGGTAACTAGGGAGGTAATCTAATCCTAGAACCCTTTAATAGTAAGCTTGCATAGTAACTTTTAGATAGGTACCCTAAGTGTAAAAGAAATATTATAAGCAATTTTTAAATTAAGAAATAAATAACCTTAGGCCCTAGTATCTACTAAAGCGTTTAGGCAAATACTAGATCTATTAAGGTATAGGGTTATAAGTGTAAGCAAATAGGAACTAATAAACAATTTAGTTAAGGAAAGGTTTAACAGGTTATATTAAGTTAGGCCTAGGAAGGAGGATCCTCCTAGGCGTTGTTGTTTCCCGTCTAATAGCTATCTAAATTAGTTAATTTAGTGGTATCTTCTTCCTTAGAATTCTTAATAACCTATTCCACATCTATAGCCTAAATCCTAGGGGGTTTAGGGCAGTTACTAGAGAAGTGCCTAGGCTTTCTACAATTATAGCAAGTTACTAGGGTTCCTATTGTAGTAGCGCTAGGAGTAGCTAGCGTAGCAGATAGGGGTTAATTATTTTAAAGGGTAGTGCCTTATTATTATAAGTAGGGTATATAAGGTTTAGCTATTAAAGGTCTATTATAGGGTTTCTAATTAGCGTCTAAATAGGACTAGTTTCTAGAGTGTTAGAAGGGGGTTAGTCCTTTTCTAGATAACAGAGTAGTCTAGGTAGGAGTAGATAAGGTAGGGTATAGGCGGTATTCTATATTAAAAGTAGTAAGATAATCTACTATAGTCTTAAAATTATTATGCTAATTCTGTTAGAAAGCAAGCTTTAGTATCCTTAGGGAAGGTGTAATCTTTATCTAGAGGTAGTAATACTACTCTAATTAGGGTACTTCTCCTCTAATAGCAAGACTCTAGAATTATAACTTAAAAATAGGGAATATCTCTATATTAGTTATATATAGGTAGTTAAATACAGTCTAACTCTTAGCTATCTTATTTCTAGTAATAAAGTAAGTTTAAAGGAGGGTAATTATTTCCTTAGCTTTTTAGAATTAAAGACTTAGGGAATTAGATAGGTAATATAGCTCTAAGTATTCTCTTGCTAGTCCTAAGTAGTGTCCCTAGACTAACGCTATCTAAGCTATAGAAGAGGGGTAGTAATTAGTGTTAATCTCTAGCCTATCCTAATTAGATGCTTGCTATTATCTAAAAGTAGGATTAGCACTATTACTAAGTATAGAGATATTTAGCGTCTTTTTAGATTATCTCTTAGCTTTTATAGTATATACTATAGGGTTTAATATAGAAACTAAAGACTAGCCTAGTTATGTAGTACCTTATATCTCCTTATAGAGGGAGGTGTTATATAACTAATTAGTAAGTTACTTAACTTGTTCCTCTAACCTCTCCTTTTTAGATAGGGTTAACATGTATTTATCTTTAAGGGAGGTGTTGCTTTAAGATTTCCTAGGAGCACGAGGTACCTCTAGGGACAGATAGGAAGTAGGTCCTTCTAGAAGGGCGTTATTAATTAAGTCTTCCTTATCTAATTTCTTTCTATCAGTAAATAGGCTTTTAAAGGCAGCTAAACTTAATACCTTTTCTTTTCCTTTATCTAATATTTTAGTAGTTAATAAGAATAATAAATCTTTTCTTTAGGGGGTTAGTTATAGAAGGATATTAGCTTTGCCTATAATTCCTCTATCCTTTTAGTAGTGTCTAGGTGTCTACCTTAACGCAATCTAACGCGATCTTTCTAAAGGTAATCTAGCACTACCTATAGGTCTAGAAGTCTAAGCCTATAGGCTTTAGTTATTAGAAGTTCTAATAGCTATTCTAACTATAGGGTTATAGGGTTAGATAACTACTAGAACTAAATAAGTAGCTTAAAATAATAATAAATATAATATTCTTAAATACTATTACTAGCTAGGATAATATTCTTCTTATAATATAACAACGTAGGTAGGTAGGGTATCTAAAAGGTATCCTACATAACTTAAAGGTATATAGGAGTGCGCGTCTATATAGAAAAGGATAAGATTCCTATACTTATAGGTCTTGTAGAAAAGGATAAGAGGAACATGCCTATCCTAACTATAGGCGAGCTGCTCTCTATATATATTAGTGAGTCGGGCCTTTATTAGGCCTAACTTGGCATAGAATAATAGGCAGGCAATTCTACCTTATTGTTACACCTATAATAGATACCTAAGATACATGCCTATTATATATATACTATAAGTAGATTACGTAAGACCCTATACCTAACATAAGCCTATAGCCTGTGTAACCTAACCCTAACCCTAACCTACTTACGTAAGACCTAACCTAAGCCTAAGGTCTATGCAACCTAACCCTACCCTAAGCCTATAGCCTATGTAACCTAAACCTAACCTAAGCCTATAGCCTATGCGAAAATTTGTAGTTAGGTTTAGGTTAGGTTTAGGGTCTAATATAAGCTAACCTAACCCTAACCTAACCTATACCTATTTACCACCCTAATAACAATATACTATAGTAGATAACATGTTATATTTATAAAGACTAAGATAACTAGCTATATTACTATAGCTCTTCTCTCTTTAATATCTATCTTAGCGTACATATATAAGACTAGCTTTATAGATAGTACCTTGCTTATAAGGGCTGCTAGTATAAGGGGCGTCCTTAAGGTACTTAGGAAGGAGTTTTAGTATAGGTAAATTCTGCTTAAAGCTATAATAGTAGGCTCTACTATAGATTAAGTTAATATTGTGTAGTAAAATACCTATAGTAGCGCTAATTTAGGCGGTAGATTTGCTACTAAAAGGTAACTTTAGAGTTATAATAAGCGCATAGGTATAGGGATTAGTATTGGGAGCTATAGTGAACTGTTAAGGAGAGTAATCCATTTAAACAAGGAGAAGGGTAAGGGGCAAGTCTTAGTATAGGGTATCTTATGATAAACAAACTAGATTAAATAATAGATTAAGGGATAGAAATTTCCATTAATAAGATATCTTGGAGAATTAAGTGTTGAGTTGCCTAACATTCTTTCCTATGATCCTCCCCTTCTTTATACCATTATCCCACCCAAATCAAGTTTCAACCTATTCTAACTTAGGCTAGACCTTATTTTCAACCAGACCCACCATGCCAAGGCACAATATTAGAGTAAAAATACTAAAAGATTAAGTATGTAGACTATTGCTATTACTATCTATATCTTTTAAAATAAGCGTGGGTCAAGGAAGTTAGGCTGATGGATCAACCGCTAACAAAGACGGTAGCAAGAACTGTTGAAAACTCACCTCCGTATCTTTAGTCGCAACCACGAGTCCTTGCTTTCATCTATTTGTAGTTAGTCTTAGGTTCCTAGTAGAATATTTAATCTTACGTTAACAACCCATTCAGGGTCATGGTCTAAACCAGTCTCCTGGCCAAATATAACTCCAGGTGCTGAGCTAAAGCTGCTATAGGGAATTTTGGGAACGAATTCTCGATATCTATGCGCCGTGATCTTGCAAGTGCAAAGAACTACATCCCAAGGGTCGGTAGTTATGCAGGGCGCACATTGGACTTTGGCCGTCATATCTATACCCCAGGCACGTTGATGCGATTGACTAAAGTCAATTAAGCCCTTCGTTACTTTGTTACAATCATTCAAAGCTTCAGTCTTTGTGGGACAAGTGCCTTGAGGATAGCGAATTTCTCCAGATATTGAGGCCTCTCTACAAGCTGTAATTGTAGGGATAGAGAGAGCGAGTAGCGTTAAGATTATCTCGAGGGATAGTGGCATGTTGTTAACTGTCAAAGGGTTTATACTTGGTGGAAGTAAAGATATTAATAAGTAAGTTAGATATAACAAAAATAGGAGTAAACAACTTGATTGTTAAATAAGCTTGTCGTTGTAACTTGTGTCTTAATATCTTTGTTCTATATCCTCATTATATAGAACTTCTCTATGTAATAATTATTCTTACTAGTAGGGTGCTCCTATCTAGTAGGATTACTTATCAAGTAAGCTTACCTATCTAGCAGGGTTCTTCTATCTAGTAAGATTACTTATCTAGCAAGCTTACTTATCTAGTAGGGTTCTCCTATCTAGTATGGCGGAGAGTTAAGGGTTCGCATATGCATGCTTCAGCGACGA